CCCGTTGGGCGGTGGCGGGAGGGGGCGAAGGGCGGCGGAGCGCGCGGCCGGGGGCAAAGGGCAGGGACGGGCCAGGGAAACCGGGACCGGGACCGGGACCGCCGCCGGCACCGCGGCCTCCCCCTCACCGCATCTCCCCCCGCCAGGTGGACGCCGCCTACAGCGACAATGGCCTCGATCCCGGTAGGTGCCGCCGCGCTGCCCGTTCCCCGCGCCCGGCCCGCGCTGACGCCTCGCCGCCGTCCCCAGCGCTCCTCATGGAGGGCGGCCGCAAGGGCAGCGTCGTGTCCCGCGCCAACAGCATCGGCTCCACGAGCGCCTCCTCCGTCCCCAACACAGGTAGCGCCCGCGCCCCCCCGCACCCTTGTAACCCCCCCCGGCACCCCCCGGCACTCCCGGTTTCCCCCCACAGACGACGAGGACAGCGACTACCAGCAGGAGCCCTACAAGGAGTCGTACAAGGACCGGCGCCGCCGGGCGCACACGCAGGCCGAGCAGAAGCGCCGCGACGCCATCAAGGTGCGGGCGGCGCCGGGAGTGGGGGGGTCCCGCGGCCGCCCCCCAGCCCCGCGCGGCCCGGCCCACCTGCGCCCGCTTCCCCACAGAAAGGCTACGATGACCTGCAGGCCATCGTGCCCACGTGCCAGCAGCAGGACTTCTGCATCGGCTCGCAGAAGCTGAGCAAGGCCATCGTGCTGCAGAAGAGTGAGTGCCGCGGCGGGGACCCTCCGGGACGGGGCTGCTCCCGGGGCCGCGTCCAGCGCGGCCGGAGCCCCACGGGCCGAGCCGCTCTCAGCCCCTCTCCCTGCTCCTCCAGCCATCGACTACATCCAGTTCCTGCACAAGGAGAAGAAGAAACAGGAGGAGGAGGTTTCTACCCTCAGGAAGGACATGATGGCCCTGAAGATCATGAAGGTGTAAGCTAAAGCAGCCGGGGGCGCGGGGGCCGCTGCCGTCTCCTCGCAGCCCGTCTCTGTGCCCAGCCCTTGTGGGGGAGCAGGGGGAGCCCCAGCCGCGCGCTCGGCGCTGCCTTCGCTGGCCGCCGCTCTCGTTCCTCAGCGCGGCGCCCTCCTTGGTTCCAGGAACTACGAGCAGATTGTGAAAGCCCACCAGGACAACCCCAACGAGGGCAAGGACCAGATCTCCGACCAGGTGAAGTTCAACGTTTTCCAGGGCATCATGGACTCGCTGTTCCAGTCCTTCAACGCCTCCATCTCAGTGAGCAGCTTCCAGGAGCTCTCGGCGTGCGTCTTCAGCTGGATTGAGGAGCACTGCAAGCCCCAGGTGAGCGGCACGGGCCCAGGTGAGCAGTGGGGAGCAGCTTCACCCTCCCTGGGGGCCTCGGGAAGGGCAGGGAGCGACTGGGGGGGTCGCTGAGCTTGGGGACAGCAGATGGGTTCCCGTCCTCCCTCACAGGTTCTTGTCGCCTGTGTCCGTGGGGCTGGTTTGGTGTCAGAACTGACCAGTGAAAAACAGAGCATACAAGGAGGGACCCTGCCCTCTCCTTGGGTCCCCCTTTATTTGGGAGCTTTGGGGGACCTTTAGCGTCAGCAGGCGCCGGGGCTGGCGTTGGGTTGTCCGACGTGTCCCGGGCGCCGGGGAGGCGTTAGCTGGGAAAGGCTCCTGTGTCCCCGGAGCCGCTGAGCTCGTGTCCTGCGCGCGCAGACGCTGCGGGACATCGTGATCGGGGTCCTGCACCAGCTCAAGAGCCAGCTCTACTGAGCGCTCCCTGCGGAGCGTCCGGCGCCGCCGCGGCGCACACGGAGCCTCGCGCGCCGGGAAGGGCCGGCTGCCTCCCCTGCCTCTTCTTCGAGCTTCTCTCGCTTATTTATTGTATCAACTGCGAGACCAAGCCTGGCTTGTGCATCTCTGCTCTACAGGTGCCGTTACCCAGTATTTGTAGGCACTTCATTAGCTAAGGAGGAGCTAAAACTGTTTTTTTAATTATTATTTTTCCTATAAATCACTGAAATCATACTGTAAGTATTATCAGCATGAGTTTGGCAGATGAGTGCTCTCTGCGGCCCCCTCGAGCCTGTCACCCTGCCGCTCCCAGAGCAGCTCCCGCTTCTGGCCAGCGCAGATACGTGGAAGAGAGGTGGTATCTCTGCTCTGGTGCTACCCGAGCACCAGCTGTTCTCCTGCAAAGCGATTCTGTGGGAACTGCTTCACAGCAGGGGCTCAGCATTGGGATTCTGCCCTCGTGTTCTCGCTGCCACTGCCACAGCAGCAGGTTTTTATTTTACTTTTCCACTAGCGCGGAGGTGGTAGCGCCGAGCCGCTTGGTTTGAGCGCTGCGGCAGCAGGAGGTTTGAACTGCTGCTTCTAGGTGCATTAGGAGAGAAAACCCTGCTGGGGCTTTGCCGCTTGGTAAGGGGCTGTTCTCCCAAACGGGCCCCGGGGGCCGCGCAGCCCTGACCGGGGCCGCGGGCGGCTCCCGAGCAGCTGCTCGGGGCTGAGGGCCGGGCCGGTGGCGGCTGCAGCCTCCTGCCCCCGCGAGGACAGGGCTGTGCACAGACCTCACGGGTGAAAGGGACATATTTTTCTATTGTGAAAAGTAATTAAATAAATTTTGCTGATTGTTTTGATTTTTTTTTTTTCTTATTTCTTCTTCCAAGCCCTGCAGCCGGTCAGAGGGGGCCCAGCCCCAGGATCGGGCTGCCGGTTCCTGGGTCCTGCTCCGCTTGTTCCCTTCCCCAGCCGTGTGCGGCTGATCCCCGTGCCCTGGGAGCAGAGCGGGAGGCTACAGAGCACCACAGCACGGGGGAAATTAGAGCTCTGGGTTCAATGAGCTGGGCCAGGGGGAGGCCCCCATCTACTAACTGCTCCCAAACAGCCGCACGGCTCTGCCAACCCAACAGCCAGCGAGTTATTCACCTCTCAGCCACTCGCTTCCTTGTCTTGCTTACGAAAATCAAATATTTTAATCCCTCTCCCCTCCCCAGGTGCAAAGCAGCACAAAACAACCGTGTTTCACCGCTGCGGGCCGAGCCCGACGCCGCAGCATCAGCGGCGGGCGGCAGCCCCTGCCCGCGGCGGCGGCGCCTCACGGGGCGGCCGGCGGCGACACGTGGTGCTCCTCGTCCGTCTCTATCCCGACCTCCTCCTGCGCGAGGCCGGGCCGGGCTCAGGAGCGGGGCGCGCGGCCGGGGCGGCTGCCGCGGGGCGGCGCTCGGCACCATACTCACGAAAAACTGCTTCTTGCTTTTGGGGTAGCCCTCGAGGATGGCGTCGAGCAGCTCCGTCGCCTGCGGGACAGGGGAGAGCGAGCGGCCGGGAGGCGAGGGGAACGGAGAGGCCTCAGCGGGATGGGGTCACGGCGGGGCTCGTGGCAGCACACCGGTGTCACCGCTGTCCCCCTGCTCCGGCCGGCGGCCCCCTTACCATGCGCTTCCTCCTCCGCCACTCCCGGCAGTAGAGCTGCTGCTCCCGGCAGACCTGCGGACGGCGGCGGGTGAGACGGGGCCGCTCCGGGGTGGCCCCGGTGCCACCGGGGGACGATCCAGCGCCCGTCAACGCCAGGTGTTGGCCCCGGTTCCACGGGCCGGGGGGGCTTCACCTGCTCCTTCTCCTCGGGGGAGACGTGTCGGGCGGCCGCCGCGATGCGCTGCAGCCGCTCGGCGTAGGCGGCGCAGTCGCCGCGCAGCCCCTGCACCTCGCGGGCCATGTCGGCCGTGCTGAGGGAGCCACCGAGCTGCCGCAGCTCTGCGCGCCGCGGTCAGCGCTGCGGCTCCGCGCCGGGGCCGCCCGCGCCGCCCGCCCGCCCGCTCACCCGCC